GTTTGTGAGGACTTTCTAAATTATTTTGAAACGTTTTTCATTTTCCTCTTTTTTTTTTTTCTCCTATCCACGGCCATGAAGAGAGATCATGTGAAAGGGGAGTGTAAGTGACAGGGAGGAACCCTTCCTTGGCTCTTTAAAAAGAGTAACTAATAATCCTTCCCATCCATCAAGGCTCCTGGCATTAACCCTTCCAAGCCTGGATCATTCTTTACCAAGCACAGGCTTGGTCTGCCCTAGAGGTCTTGATTCTCTGCGAGTACAGGAAATGCAGGGTAAGCAGAGACTTAAGTTCACGAGATCTGTGGAGAAAGGTAGATGGCAAAAGAGAGGTTAAGAAGACCTAACCGTGGCCTCCCTGGTGGCGCAGTGGTTGAGAGTCCGCCTGCCGATTCAGGGGACACGGGTTCATGCCCCGGTCCGGGAAGATCCCACACTCCGCGGAGCGGCTGGGCCCGTGAGCCATGGCCGCTGAGCCTGCGCGTCCGGAGCCTGTGCTCCGCAACGGGAGAGGCCACAGCAGTGAGAGGCCCGTGTACCACACACACAAAAAAAGACCTAACCCACCTCTGAGAGTTGGCCTCCTCGTAAAGAGACTTCCTGCCTCTGGGCTCTTAAGCTATCCCCAACTCTTCTCTGCTTGTACTTTGGTAGGCAATCTGGGATTGCATGCCCCCATGAGGAGCAACAAGAGAGGTGTGACAAACAGGAAGAGGAGAGTGGAAAGAGATCATGGAAGGACGTCCCCATGGTAAGTTTGGAGCGATAGGTACTTCAGGCGAGGAGCAGAGAGGCAAGAAGACCTCCAACTGGGATGCCATGAGGAGACAAGCTGCCAGTGTTCAGTCCCTAAAAAAGCCCTTAAGCTCAGTCAGAAAGTGGCCTTTCATATCTGTACTTGCCAGATAGAAGAGGACACAGAGAATCCGGAGAGTTCTTAGAGGGCAGCCACAGAGATGATTAAAGGTAGAAAACAAGACCTAAGAGGAAACACTAGAACTAGGGTTATTTTACAAAGAGAAGAAACAGTGCAGAGATAAACCTATTAAGAAGACTTCAAATAACTTAGAAAGCCCAAAGTTAGCTGAGGGTGACCAACTCAGCTCAACTCAATAAATATATATTGAGCATTTATCAGGCACTTTACTGGGTGCTTGCCTGAACCAACTACAGACATCTTGTTATAGAAATAGTCCTACAATCCTTCCAAATATCTAGCCCTGTAATTGCTTACCTATTTGGCATGACCATGAAGAACGCACTGATAGCCTGACCTATAATTTCACAGATTTGGTGAGACTATAAGTCAGATACGGAAAACAGTATAATAATTTCATAAAGCCAGAAGCTAATAAAGGACAGATAAAGTATGTATCCTCAAACACCAGTATTTAAGGTGGTTCTACTCCATAGTCAGGGTTGGTTGTTTTTCTGTGTATGTGTATAACTAGGAATCCAGCTTGAGCCAGTGATGCTGACTCCAAAACTCAGACACACTGGGGTCTGTCTGAGGAAGGATGGGTAGCCCTGTCAAGAGTCTATTGGTATGCAGACCAAGGAGACTTTTGGGAAGAACTCGCTCAGTGAAGAAAGAACCAAGGGACAAAAGCCAGGCACCAAGTGCAACCAAGCTGTGTCAAAAGTAAGGAGAAGCTCTAAGAAAAATACCATGTCTATAACTCAGGTTATTCTTAGGCAAATCTGGGGTCTAAGAAGAAGATGCTACGAAAAATAGAGTAAGGAAAAGCTGAAAGCAGTATTTTACTAAAATATTTGAGGGATACTGAAAGCATCAGAAGGGATCATCAGATTTGAGTCTACAGATCTGGCTGGGGGAGAGGGGTATGCTCCTTCAGATATGACAACAGCCACTGCTGCACGAAGCCACAGCTGAAAAGAAAGACAATGGCAAATGCCACTTCAAAGTTGAAAACAGTGATTCACAGAATACACAGAAAACATTTACTGGAGATTCTCATAATTATTTGACAGAGTTTTGAGTAAGGCTGGAATTCTTAAAATTGTGGGAACAGATGTGGAGAAATATGATTTCGTTACTCTTTTGTGAACAGATTTTGCCCCCTGGACTGGCTTGGGAAACATGAGTCATTGCAATCAGAATTATTTATGTTCCATGGGAGGTAACATATCCTAGTTATGAGGACTGTTCCACACTAGAAACGAATTACTGACAAACAGTATAGAATTCCATTACCTGGACTTCACTAAAAATAAGATAGATCTACCTGGAATGGTCAGGATGCAGGATTAACTAGAAGAAATGTGCAAGATTACTTTTCAAGATCTTTTCTAGTCTACAAACCAAGGTTCAAGTAAATACAAGTGTTAAGAGCTGAAATAACTATAGTATTTCTGTCTCCAAATTCACAAGGGTTCGATACATTTGTGGTGCCATAGGAAGTCAAATAAAGGATGGAAATAAAAGGAATGTAACTAACTCAGTTTAAGAAATACACACACACACACACACACAAATCTTAAGAGGCTATATGGGTATTCACAGAAACCAAACCCAGTTGGTACATTTAAGCTTCACAAGGAATTAAAACCAGAAATTAGCCACCAGTAACCTAATGCCTAATTAATTGTCTTCTCTTTTCTCTTTCTTTTCCTTCTCTTTCTCCTCTTTCTTCTTTTCTCCCTCTCCTCCCTCTCTTCTTCCCTCCCTCCCTATATCTCTCTGTCTCATTCATTCATTCATTTCCCATCTCTCTCTCCTTATCTCTACACATCTTGCTTTAACCTATTCTTTTTCAGCAGACCAGACTTTTCTACTTCTTTTCACACATTATTAAAGGTGGTTACCCTAAAATGATGTCTTATCTCTCAAATATATATATATCTCCTCACTTCAAGTGAATGAGAAAGAATGACTAGTTTTTTGAAGCCCAGTTCTGGAATCCTGCGATGAAGAATTTGATTGGTCAGGTGTGTTTCATGTATTCATCCTCTATCTCTAAACTGTGAGGGCAATGGGTCATGTAATATGAAAATTGCTCCATCACGTTCACAGGTGGGTCAATTCTCAGAAAAGGGGTGTCATACATTGAAAGATAAGCCAGTATATCTGGACAAAACTATAATTCAAAAAGATACATGCACCCCTATGTTCATAACAGCACTATCCACAATAGCCAAGACATGGAAACAACCTAAATGTCCATCAACAGATGAATGGATAAAGATGTGGTACATATATACAATGGAATACTATTCAGCCATAAAAAGGAACGAAATAATACCATTTGCTTCAACATGGATGCAACTAGAGATTATCATACTAAGTCAGAAAGAGAAAGACAAATGCCATATGATATCACGTACATGTGGAATCTAAAATATGACACAAATGAATTTATCTACGAAACAGAAACAGACTCACAGACATAGAGCACAGATCTGTGGTTGCCAAGGGGGAGGGGGTGGGGGTGGAAGAGAAAAGGACTGGGAGTTTGGGGTTAGTAGATGCAAACTATTACATATAAAATGGGTAAACAATAAGGTCCTACTGTATAGCACAGAGAACTATACTCAATACCCTGTGATAAACCATAATGGAAAATAATATATAAAAAAGAATGTATATATGTATAACTAAGTCACTTTGCTGTACAGCAGAAATTAACACAACACTGTAAATCAATTATACTTCAATAAAAAATAAATTTAAGAAAAAAGAAAGACAAGCCAAAAGTATCTGCTACATCAATAATTAACAAAGCCTGACAATCCCTGGATTTTAAAGAAATTATACCTCACCAAACAAAACAAGAGAACAAAGAATACAGCGAAGTCATATTGTGTACATATTTAACTTAAGTACCAATTTTAGAACCTAATCCTTAAAATAAGATGTCTTTTTATTGGTTAATCTGTCCATAACAGATAAATCCATTGACATGTATTAAGTCAGAAAGGCTTAATTTTTGAAAAAATCAATACAGAGGAAAACTTGTAGGCAATAGAAATACTTTGATTTTCTTAAAAGCAGAGTGGTCTTAATGTCCAGATAGCTGCATATAGACTTTCACTTGGTTTCTTCCTGAGTTTAGCTCATGATTCAAGAATCTTAGTGTGCTTAATAGTTATCCTATGGAGTTGTATCCACAAAAGCATGACTACTACATTTATAAGTGATTTGAAGATCTCAAAGATAATCTTAACCCTAAGAGATCTTTCCCTCAATGGGCTGGGTCTTAATGCTACATACTACTCGATGCTATCCTTCTCTGATGGACTTTAGTGGAAGATGATCCATGTCCAAACCCCTTGTGATCAGAGTCACCTTGAACAAGTCATTGACTTTCCCATCTATAAAATGAAGGATGATATGAATGCACAACTCACAGGGTTGTGAGAATAAAATTAGATCAGAAAAGAATAACTTGCTGAGTACTTACTGTATGCAGGCATTCCTCTAGGAACGTTACATTTATCATTTCATTTCTCAAAAGAACTTTATGGGGTACGTACTATTATTTCCCCAATGTCCGTATGTGGAAATTAATGCACAAAAATCCTAACTTGCCCAGGATCATACCTGGTGAGCTAGACCACATGTATGTATATATGTGCTTTGTTGATAGTAAAGTGTGTGTGTTTATGGGTGAACAGGAAAGATGTACAGTGCGTGGGAAAGAGTCAATTCTTAGCTATTCAGGCATTGAAGTCTGGTGATCCATGTGGAGAATCATCTACATTATTTTCCATTCCATTCTTTCTCCCCTGAAGCCCATCTTTGTGTCACTGCTTCTTAGCACTTCCACCAGAGAAAGAAATGAGAATTTTTTTTTTTTTTTTTGTGGTATGCAGGCCTCTCACTGTTGTAGCCTCTCCCATTGCGGAGCACAGGCTCGGGATGCGCAGGCTCAGCGGCCATGGCTCACGGGCCCAGCTGCTCTGCGGCACGTGGGATCTTCCCGGACCGGGGCACGAACCCGTGTCCCCTGCATCGGCAGGCAGACTCTCAACAACTGCGCCACGAGGGAAGCCCGAGAAATTTTTTAAAAATTAAAATCATTCTGTCTGTGACTCTTCCATGGACGAGCTGAAAAGTCAAGTAAAGAGGAAGCTGAGGTTAATGGCCAAAATAATGTTCTTATTCACTTGTGTTTTTAACAATGCCACATATAATATTTCACAGTTTAAAGGAGTGCTTTCACAGACATGACTTCATCTGATCCTCAGACAGCCCCAATATGTACTCAGAGCAGATATTTGACAAATAAGGAAAATGAAGCTCAGGGAAGTAGTAACTTACTTGAAGTTGTTGCTGGTAAATGGCAGAATCTGAGTTTGAATCCATTTCTTCTGCTTCGCAGTTCTCTTTCTGCCCATTTAGCATCAACAAAAAACCTGAGAGCCTCTAGCCTCTTGATTTACACCCAGTTCTAGTTAACTAGGTTATCTGGTTTCCCCGTTTTACTGTTCTTCCATTTCCTTTTTCACTGTGGAGAAAGAATAACAAAACCCTTACCTCGGTAGAAATTCTGAGATGAGGGGTGAGAAAATAGACATGGAGAACTCAGAAGTGTAGCTTAGCCTTAGATTTCCTAAGGAGAGTGAGGGCTACAAAAAGAGTTTTTAAAACAATGCATTTCACAGCCTCATCCTAGGAATGTAACCCTTCTCCAGGCTAAAGTCTGTAAACCTAAACTGTCCTTGTCAGATAAGAAAGTAACCTACTTTTAATATCTCCAAGGGAAGAGGATCTCTCAACAGCCTTCGTGTTTATCAACACTCAGTGTCAAAAGTTCTGCTTTTTATCTACCCTGAATCTCCCCTGCTACCATGTTACCTCCTCCTTGTCTGCACTCAGTGAAAACAACCCTCAGCTAAATTATTTCCCAGCTCCTTATACACACATATTTCAGAGCAGAGTGGAGTTTGAGCAGCAGTATTATTTTTCCTTGCTCAGGCCCAGTTTGGAGCAATCATCTTATACATAATGATAACCCTCCTTATGAAATTTGAAGACCCTCAGCTGCCTCTCGTCCAGGCTGGGGTTTTTCCGGCGTCTGGAAGAGGAACAACATAATCCCCATTGACTGTCCTGTTAGGGATCCAAGAAACTTGGAAAAATCAAAGGACTTTTAGTTATTTGAGTCTTGCTTTTAGGGATTCATCCTCCTTTCCTCATGTATCTATGGAGGGCACTGAGAAGCTGGAGAGATTAATATCTCTGAGTTCTTGTGGGGGGTGGGGGGAAGGCTCTACAGAATTATCAAATATTATTTTATCCTTTTATATCTCACGTTAGAGACTTTGTTTGCTTAACGCCCTATCATTCATCTCTCAATGCATAACTCCATCCCATTGCCCTGAGTTACACTGTAAACACCACCTTTCTGTTTCTAACACACAACATATTTCAAAGCGGAAAGGAATTTATAGGCCAATGTTATTTTTCCATGTACAATTCCAGTTTGGAATGTCCAGCAGCACTCAAATTGCCTTTCAAGATAAAGACCAGATTCTGATTCCATGTAATCCTTGTGTGCTTCTGGGAAAGCTCAGATGTTAGTCTTATGGATGGAATCCACGTTCTCCAGGGCCCTTCAACATCCCAGAGAGGAACCATTTACACCAAGCCAGGCTCCATCAGAATTCTCCAGTGGCCTTTTGACAGAGCTCTCACAACTAGCAAGACAAGTTTCAGTTGTAAAACCCGTGCGACACAAAGCAAGGGCAAGTTCTTCTACGCTGACCCCAGTTCAGCGTAAGCTGGAAGGAGCCTCCGAGGTCAACAAGCCTCACGCTCTTGTTTTACAGCTGAGTCCCAGCACAGTTAAGTGGCTTTTCTGAGGTCACACAAAACAAGAGGGGAAAGCACAGCATAGAACTCACATCTCTTGAGTCCCTATTCATTACTCTTTCCAAAGCATCGTGCAATTGCACAGAATACTCTTTTACTTTAAACAGTTAAAATATTTAAGGCCAACAAAATAAATAGGAAAAAATAGGTAAAGCATCTATAGACCAAGTGAAGGCCAGGGGAGTGGCCAGATGGGAATGGAGTCTGGAGAAGATCACCTCATGAGACGTCAGCAGTCTCTGAGAACACAGATGAAGTCCTACAATCTCTTGTTCTTTGCTTTGCCCATGGGCAGCCCCAGTTTCTTCAACAGGATGAAGGTTAGATAGAGGTAGAATTATTTTGTCACAAGAAATCTAAATACACTTGAGAGAGATGTGGCAGAGGTGAATGGAGAGATGGATCCTAAGTCTGCATCCCTTCCACTCCCTACAATGGAGGCCCCTGGATCCTCACCTGCAGACTCAGTTGCACCCCCCTCTCCCCCGACCTTGTTAGAATCACTTTGAGCCTGATATAGGAGGACCTGTGCCGTCATGGCTGGTCTGTCTTTGATTAAAGACCTACATCTTGTCATGGCCCTGATTCCAAGTTTTATCAACATTCCTGAGGCCAAGGATAGTAAATATTTGTAGGTCTGCTCGATCCACAGTGACCTCAGTACTGCCCTCTCTCCTACAGGGGTGGACTACCAAAATCCATGCTTGTATTACATAACCTCCACTTCCGTGGCCATAATTGAAGGGATCAGGAATATACAAGCTATTTTCTGAATAGTGTGTGACCCAAGCTAGTGATCCAAGCTGTTTTTTGAATTATATTTCATAAAATGCAAGAAATCATTCCATAAAATTTGAAAATGCATCAAGGGATTGCAACTCCAGTCTGAACTAGTTTCTTAGAAAGAGAAGATCTTGACTCTGAAACCCTAGGTGGTAATAGTCTCTGCATCACATGGACCACGGAAGCAGAGAAAGCTGGTCTACAGGGAGAAAAGAATGAAGTCAATGTACAGAAAACGAAAAGGCAACTGAGAATCCTGGCAGTTTTCTAGTTCCCAGTCCCAAGCTCCTTCCAAGGTCAGGATGCATTTCCTGCTCTTGGATCCCGTAAGACACTCTGTATCCTTATAATACATTCACATGTGTTGCTCAAACTGCATCAAGTGGGCTTCTTTAACTTGAAATCACACTCCTTTTAGGGCTCTGCACAGGCATCTCTTCTGGTAAATTAACACCTCAACAAGAATAGAAGGTGGGTATCCTTATTCCAATTATAACTGACAAGAAAACCCACTCAGAGTCTCACCTAGGCATTCCCAGTAACTTTTTGGCTACCTGTTGACCAACTACTTGTATGCCTGGATTCTTGAGTAATATCTCCCTCTTGAGTTCTGTGCTCTGAGTTCTTCTCCTGTATCAGTCAGGATGCAGTCAGGAAAACACACCATACTAGCTATTTCAACAGAAGGGATCTTACATAAGGAATTGGCCACAAAGATGTGGGAGGGCCGACCAATCAGAAATAATAACTGCAGAAAGCAGCCACCACCCTAACACTGGGAGAATAAAAGGGGTTTGGGCTATGAGAACTTAGGAGCTGGAAGGAGGGGGCACCACGTAACTAGAGCTCACATATCTAACATGGTTCATAATCTGGTTTCTTATGGTACCATTGTTATGACATGTTGAGGCTGGTTATGGGAGTGTGGAAAGAAGCTGGAACCTGGACCAAACTGCCCTGATGGCATGAAATGCTACTGCTGGAGCTAAGGGCCACTACTGGAGTAACAACTCTGATACCAAGAAACAGGAAATGACTCTCTTCTCTTCTCTCCTCCTCCCAGCTTTCACTCATCTCCTGCCTCTTATTGGCAGAATCTAAAAGGAGGTCTGTTGGTAAAGCAATCTCTGAGACCCCGTTCCAGTGTCACAGAACAGAGCATAGAAGGATGGATTTAAAGCTGAGAGACAACAGGCAAAATCACCACGACTTGGACACACTCTCCACCCATTACCAATGTCTTGTCCAGATTGCCACCCACGTGTGCCCTCCTTACTTAGATGCCAGTCTTTGCTGTGCCACCTGAACCTTCTTTCAATGGCTATACCTGGTTTAGTGTGCCAGGCACCATTCCTCTCCACAGAATGTTTCTAATCCTAAACCATGGCCTTTCTAAGGCAGCTCCAACTTGCTTCAACTATTCCAATATGCCAGTATGCCTCCTTAGATCAGATAACCAGCCCCAGGGCCTTTGCACCTGCTATTCCCTTTACATGGAATAATCTTCCCCACCTAGTCACCCGGATTTCTCCCTAACTTCCTACAGGACTTTACTCAAATGCCACTTTTCAGTGAAATCTGACCACCATTTCTAATATTTTACCCTAATACTTTCTACCTGCCATTTCTTTTTTTTTTTTCATTTTAGAACAGATTAACACACTATATACTTCTTCATATCCACTAGAATGTAAACACTATTTATTTTGTGTACTACCATATTCCCAAATGTCTATAATTGTTCTCGGCATATAGTAGGAACTCACAAATATTTATTGAATGTTGAATGACTTAATTAAGTAATGCCCACAGTACGAACTGAGAGAGCTGGAAATGTGTGTGTTCTAAACAAAAAAGACAGAAAGAAAACAGAGAGAATATCTTTTGCCCATCCTAGAAGTCACCTCTAGGAGTCACCTGGAGAGAGATAAACACCAAAGCTCCTAGAGCCTTCAGGGCCATTCTGGAATGAGGACTAAAATGAACAAGGTAGGGGTCAAGAGTACCCAGCTCTTGGGCATATATCCAGACAAATTATAATTCAAACAGATACATACACCCCTATGTTCATAGCAGCACTATTCACAATAGACAAGACATGGAAACAACCTAAATGTCCTTCAACAGAGGAATGGATAAAGAAGATGTGGCACATATATACAATGGAATATACCTAGCCATAAAAAAAGAATGAAATAATGCCATTTGTAGCAACATGGATGGACATAGAGACTATCATACAAAGTGAACTGAGTCAGAAAGAGAAGCACAAATATCATATGATATCACTTATATGTGGAATCTAAAATATGACACAAATGAACTTATCTATGAAAGAGAAACAGACTCACAGGCATAAAGAACAGATCTGTGGTTGCCAAGGGGAAGGGGAGTGGGGAGGGATGGATTGGGAGTTTGGGATTAGCAGATGCAAACTATTATATATAGAATGGACAATAGAGTCCTACTGTATAGCACAGGGAACTATATTCAATATCCTGTGATAAACCATCATGGAAAAGAATATGAAAAAGAATGTATATACATGTATAACTGAATCACTTTGCTGACAGCAGAAATTAATGCAACATCGTAAATCAACTATACTTCAACAAAATAAAATTTTTAAAAAAGGGTACCCAGCTCTTTCGGCAGCTCTTACTCCAATAAGCCAAATGAGCTGGTGCAGCATGAGGTATCTAAACCTCATAGTGAAGAAAGATAATCTGTTAAAAGATAAAGATGAAGCAGGGGCATGTATGTGGCAGTATGGGAGCAGTGGAACATCAGGATGTGGATGAGATGGAGACTTTGGGGCTTGGCAGTCTTTCTATCCCTTCAGAAAATCCC